ACACCCCAAAAACCGCAGCTCAGGAAACCCACTCAGGCGCCTGCCTAGCTGCAGCAGGGCCCACGCGTCCTCACCGGTGGCCCAGGGCACCTGGCCAAGGGACCATCTTCTTTCTGCTTTCCTCCTCTTAGTGGGAGTTACCCTCACTCCGTTCTGTGTACGCCGTAATCTCTGGAGCCATGCTTTCGAAGCTAGAGATTTGTATTGGAATTCCGGCTCTACTGCTTATTATCGGCGTAATTTCGATCAAATTCTTCATCTTCCTGACAGGGCCAGGATTATGGGGAGAGCCTAAAATTCAGTAATCAAGAAATAATATTTTAATGCCCCAATTAAAAATACCAAAATTCATGCAAAAATTTCATGATGCACAAAATAACTAAGGCTTTATTTAAAAAAAGGACAGGATTCGCCAGCAGCCGGGCGCTTGGGAGGCAAAATGTGGCGACGTCCCAAGAGGGTTGGAGAAGAAGGCGGGAGAGTGAGTAGAGGAGGATGGAGCGGGTATGGGGGAGGGAGAGTGGGTCTGGATTCTTGCCTAGAGGGTCAGGAGAGATTTTTCTTTGCTGTTCTCGGGATCACGCTGCGAGTTTTGCGTTTTGCACCCACCTATAGCGCACCGGTTCTTCTCTAGTTAGGAAGAAGTCTAGGGGCTTCGAGGGCCGTCCCTTAAGTCCCGAGCTCATGGGGAAGTGCAGGAGGGTCGCGGCCATAGGGAGCCTCCTGTGAAGAAGCTCTGAGGCCCCGCGCCTGACCTCGGCCCCAGGCCCCGTGGTCTCGCGGTCCCGAGGCTGCGCACACCCACAGCAGCAGGCCTCCGCGAGCCCGAGGCTGGGCTGGGTAAGGTCGCACTACCACGGACTCCGGCTCCGGAGGAGCTTTCCTTCACCACCTGAGTACGCGGGCCCTGGAGATGGGCGCGACTTGCCCTAGGCCCACACATCCCTCTCCTGGTCCCAGAGCTGGGCGCGAGTGTGAAGTCCCGGGCCGAAAGCGCGCACACACATACCACCTGGGACCGTCAGATGACATATTCCGGCCGCGCCCCTGGAGAAGCCGATCTTTGCTTTGCCCTTAGCGCCCGGACTGGGTGAGAGGGCTTCGGGCGCCGGCCTAGAGGCCTCATGGGTGGGCCCGGGGCTTGGATGTTCCAGGCACGTTCCTGTGTCCTGGGCTGGAGGGGACGCTTCTCGGGGATCACTTGGGTTCTAGAATACTTAACCAGACCACAGAGTGCGTCAGAGCCGTGGTCCGGCATCTCAGAGGAAAGGCCCGACCCGCCCTCTTGCTGCGCGAAGACAAGGGCGGCCGCGCCGCGCGCGCCCCACCCGGCGCGGGGACGCGCGCTCCTCCCTACGCTCCCCGAAGGTCTGCAGCCGCCCTCCCCGCGCCGCTGCGGTTGTCTTTCCTGTTCTGTTAACCGAAGTTAGGAATCCAAAGGCACCGTGGCCCATCCGTTACTCTTGCTTTTAAAGCGTTTACCAGAAGAGCGGAAGAGAGGATGGGGACGGGACCTCGGCCACGTTTGGGGTCTGCCCACGTGCCTTGAAACGAGTCTCCTTTCTCATCTTCTTTCCTATGGTCACCATTGGGTGCGGGGTGTCCCTTTCGGTCTGGTAACCTGTCCCTCAGCCCTGGCGCACTTTTCAGCCCCGGCGCCGGCTTTCTGTCGGCCAGACTAGCCAAGGACCGATCTCTGCCGCTGTCAGCGGAGCGTCTTGGTTTAGAGTTCGTTAGGCCAGGGACCTTTGGCCGAAAGCGGGAAATTATTACTACTTCCTGGGCAGTTCTTGAGGTCGACTAACTTTTGAGTTCTGGAGGCCACAAATGAGATTTTGAAAGGGTGGTGTGTATAAGGAGACATCTCCCAGTCCTCCATATAATCAAACTTCGTATAACCAAACTCAGAGGTATAACCAAAAATTTAAATCCCTAGGCTACAAAGTTTAACAGGTTGTGAAAAATGTTCCATTACCACTGTGACCCTAATCCTCTACGTATATTCCAAAACTGCCCCCATAGTTAACTCACTGCGATCGCAAAATTGCCATTCAAAAATTAAATACAATTAAATTCTGTGCTTAAAATTTCCTTACATTAGGATATTAAGGTTGCTTATGGCAATCCACTGAGACCTCTTCCAACTCGGGATAAACTCTTGGCCCTAATTTAATGTAGATGATGAAACTGAGGCTTTAAGTGGTTTCTGTAACCTACACAAAGTCTCAGGGCTAAACTCAAGATTCAAAGCGTTCTCCAAGCCCAATGAATTTCGGACACCAGCCCCACCCGCGTGTCGTCAGCCAGAGAAGGGAACGGAGACAAATATTAACGCGACTGCCTTGTTCAATTCCCTTGGGTAGCTTTACCTGTTTGTCAGCGCTAACACTGGGATTGAAGGGATCTCAGAACTTGATGCTCTCCCATGGCTTTGAATCACCATTTCACAGCCCCTCTCTGCCAAGCACAGGTTCCCCGTTTTTATAGCACCATATTGATTTGCAAAGGCAATAAATCTAAAAGAAGGGACAGTGTACCCCCGATAATTATGTTGTAGTGTACATTTTACTGCCACGGTTTCAACACCAACAAGATGCATAGCTTGTTAGGGATCCCCAAACGGCTCACCTCTAGCTCCCGGATTTGTATCATGTGGTGTTTTCAGTTCTTCTGGTTTGCCGCAGGTCTCTGCGCTCTCGCTTAATTCTTTTCCCCCTTCCTCTTTTACCTTTAAAGGACGAATAGCCAGAACTTCCTGCCCGCAGGAGACCCAGCACTGGGCTAAGGCCGCGTGGGCAATTGGAAAAGGAAGTGGAAACTGGGGCAAGTCAGCTTTCCCTTTGCGCCAATTTTTCTAAAAATGTCCCTGTCATGAAATTATTCAAATTCCACTCTGAACCATGAAGATAATTAAGAAGAGATACGACGTTCCTCTCTCTAGAAAAGCAGTGGCAAGGCTTTTTGTTAAATTGAGGTATAATTCCACAAAAAGTTTTTGAAAACTAAAACCAGCAAATAAGATCTACGACATCCAGTTGAAGCATATATTAAATTCGACACTAACCATTACATCAACCCCCGCCAATAAAAAAACAAAACAAAACAAAACAAAAACACCAAAAACGAAAAAACCTCTTGTCAGAAATCTTCCTTCCTGGCCAAACACTAAGCATTTGAGACAAGAAAGGAACCAGCATGCGCCTTACATTCAAAACAGGGAAATGTCACTATTGTATCGAGGTGGTGTGTGTGTGTGTGTCTGTGTTTGGAGTGGGGTGGTTTAATAACTGAACGGTCTGGATTGGGTTTGGGTTGTCCGAAACCAGCAAACGACTCAAGAATGGAAACTGATCCTTAAACGCATCGGGTGGTTTAGTCTCTATTCTTACCCGGATTAACCTTAGTGCCGCTGCTCTCAACGGCATTTAGTTTTACGGTCGACCTTCCTGAACAGTCCAGGCACAGGCTGCGGAGCCAGGGTGTGAGGGGGACCGAGTTCTGGAGTTCGAGACCCACGCTCCCGTCTGCTCGGCTTGCTACAGGCAGACGGGAGAAGGGATACTCTAGCCCCGGTTTTTCTCTCTCAAAAGCAAGTGGAGATGGGTTAGACGATGGTGTAAACTCCTCCCTTCCAGTACAAAAATCTATGGTTTTACGAGTTTCCCCACTTACACGTATACACTTTATACATCGAGAATGACATCAAGAATGCATTTCTTAGTCACCTTCATGCAGCGTCTTGTTGGAAACTATTGATGCACAATGACAAGACAGGTTTAAATCACGACTCTCCCATATGCCATAATTTTAAACTTAAATAAATGTTCTCAAGTTTGGACTTTTATTTTTTCCCCCTAAGTTTATTTCAAGAGCGAGGAGGTGGGGGTTGAGGCGGGGGACTGAGGATATGTAGTGAAGGGAGAGAAAGGCTGGTGGGAAATGGGGGCTGTTTTCCTTTCTTTTTCTTTTAAGACCTACCAAGAGGTTCTTAATCGACAGACCGAAAGGCTGTAAAGGACGCAAATATTTACAAGTACAGCTTGAGTGTGTGTGTCAGCCTGAGTTTACACGGCTCCAAGTGAAGCGGATTACCCTGCGAATTCGGAGAATTTGAATTATTCAAACTGAACAGGGCCAACAGGACGACCCCACAAGGCCTTGGGAAGTGGTGGTCAAAGCTGAGTTTGCGAAGACGGAAGATACCGTCCGCCGAGCTCGGGCGCTGTAACGCTCGCATTCTCCCACTGCGTGTCGCGTGGTCCCCGCCTACGGCCGCGCCACCCGGCATCGCGTCCGCCCCTCGCCTTCCCTTCGGAGTCTCTCTCGGGAACAGGAACCCCGGGAGAGAGGCGCATCGGTGTGCTGCGGAAGTCGCGGTTCTGAGAACAGCATCCTTCGCCAAAGGCTAAGCAGCCGTCCTGGGCTGTCTTTTGCAGGCCTCCGTCTCTCCAGCCTTCTTTCAAGCGGACAGATTTTGGAGCCCAACGAGTACGGGGACCCCGTCCTTGGGAACTTTTCTGAGAATGGGATCTGGCCCGTTGGCGCCAGCTTCCGCTTAATTTAGAGCTTCCCAACTTTCTTTTGCAACTTCGAGCACCGATAAGAAAAAGAATGACAGTAGCAGGAACTCCCTGAGGCTTCCTCTAGTCTAGGTGCCCTCCGTGGGCCACTACGGGGATCCCGGGCTTGGCCGTGACAAGAATGCCCCCTCCGGACAGTGCGCCCCTCCCTCCCGCCCCGAGACTGTGAAACCGCCTGGGGGGCGTCCGGAACCGGTGTGTCGGCCTGGTGGTGGCCCCCCCAGCCGGGAACCAGGGCCAGGCTCGCGGCCGGCTGCGTCTCACGGCTGTGAGGGCTCCACGCCCCGGGCGCGCCCTCCCTGCCCAGCCCGCGGCCCCGCCCCCGGCGGCGGAATCAGGAAGCGGTGACGTGGTGCGGAGCTGACTGGCTGCGGGCCTCCGGGATCCCGCCGCCAGCAAATTAAGGCGCAGGGCTGCCAGCGCCCGGGCGCAGTGTCCTCCGTGCCGCGCCGCGCTTCGCACTCCCGCGCTCGGGCTCCCAGGCGTCCGCCCCCTCGCAGCGGCGCCCGTCGGGTCGCCACCTCCCTGCAGCTTGGGCCGGTCCGGCTGTCCCTAGCGAGGAGGGGAGGAAGGACGCGGAGGGGGAGCTGCGGGACCCCTGGACTTTGCTCAGCTCATGCTCGTCTCCAGTTTCCGGCGGCGCAGCCTGTGGTCCTGCGGAGTGCCCCGTGGCTTGCGTTCCCGGGTGAGCCTGCGGCTGGTCTTCTCCCGTCTTTGCCGACTACTTCCAAGTCTCTGCGGCTCCAGGGCTTTGCGGCTGAGGATAGGAGAGGCCAGTGTGGAGCCCTTGGGAGGTTGGGACTGACTCATCTGCAGTCCCCGGCTCTGCAGTGGTGACACTCGGAAACTTTGCACTGTGTTTCCGTCGAAGCTGGACGGCTGTGCGGCAAGCCCAGTCCCTGGCCAGGACCGCGCACTGGGGGCCATGGAGTTCACCGCGTCTCCCAAGCCCCAGCTGTCCTCCCGGGCCAACGCCTTCTCCATCGCGGCGCTCATGTCGAGCGGCGGCTGCAAGGAGAAGGAGGCCACGGAGAACACCATCAAACCCCTGGGTAAGGCGGGCTGCCTGACTGGCCGCGCAGGGTAGGGTCGGGGGTATTGCGTGTCAGTCCCTGTCCCTTGACTGAGGAAGGCTCAGGAGGGTGGTTGCCTTTCCAGCCTCGCGGAGCTTCTGACCCTCAGGCCATAGACCGTGCATTATGGGTGAGAGGGTTTTTTTCTTTTCAGCCCAAGTTTTCTTTAGGGCTTCACAGTCTGTGAAATAAACAATCAGTTTTGCATCCAGTATATTCGCTGGTCATTCTCCCTCGCTCCCTACCTATTTGTCTAAAATCTCCACGTCAAGTCAGACATACAGTGTTTGTGAGTGTAACTTTGTTGGGATAAAAACATTTAGATATATATAATAATAAGACCCCTTTAGGACTCCCAAGGATTTATGATGTGTGTAACACCGACTAGTGCTTTGAAGCCAAGAATACGGTAAGCGACTTTACAAGAAACCAGTTTAATTTTGTTTTTCCCTGACTTGAACAAAGGAATCAGCTCCTTAAAACCACTGTCAAGTGCTGTAGAATAAGCCAGTTCTCCCCGCATGAACCATTTTCTTCACAGAACCTCTAGACTTATCAGTAAGACATCATTTTATCACTGCCATCATTTTCACTGGAGGTTGGCAAAAACATTAGCCAGTAACCATTTCCCAAATTCCTCAACTTTTAGCTACACTGTTTATTTAACAACCCTTACCATTTATAGAAGACACAAGCTTGGAGTAAAGGGAGAATAGGGATTGTGTTCCCCTTAGCACAAGTTCTAAGGGGAAAGAAACTATTGGAGATAAGTATTTAAAAGTACCTTTACAATTGAGGGAGAAAGAAATTCTCACCATCAGCTCTTGGGTCCCCTGGGAAATAATAATTCCTCATCCTGATTATCTGATAGCCCTAAAACAGTGAAAAATATCAAATATCAAATCTAGGGTAAGTCTACTTTTTTAACTCTTCTCCAACTTTTTCCTTCCTTCTTCCTGTTCCCACCACTTTAACATCTCACATCCAAAACAATAATAATAGTAATAGGAAAGAGAAAGTGTTAGAGACGCAGACTAATGGGCCTGGGCAGAGATAAAACAAAGGACTAAAAGCCTGCAGCAATTTAGAATCAAGGGAAAGAGAACCTGAAGAGCCCCAGAAAACAGAATGGCAACAAATCTCTCCTCCAAGGCTTTCGCTCGCTCTCCCTGGTTCTTCCACCGACCTTCCCATCTAAATCGAAACCTGCAAAAGAAATAGAAAAAACCAATAGAAACAAATTCCTACTGTTTCAAAAAAAAAAAAAATTAACCAGCAGTTTCCAAGGTGTGTTTCTGGAAGTTCCCAGCACTATCCACTCCTATTTAGGGGGCCTCTGAATTCTTTACACATGTCTCCATCACGGTTTGGTAGCTAGCAGGAAGAGAGGATTTCAGGTTAAATTTCTTGACAGAAGTAAACAGACTAGGAAACGTTACTTTGTTAGCTCCACAGTCATTTCAGGGTTGCTCCCTTCTCTGTTTTCCTGAGTAAAACCACCTTTTCTCTAAATTCTAAACTATTCTCCCTCCACCCAACCCACCTACCCAAACACAGTCTGTAAAATGTGCACCCCTCCCCTCCTGGGGCTTTTGAGACAGGCTGAGAGAACCAGAAGGCGTTCTTGTCCCTTTTACGGGCCAGTTCAATGGAGCACAGTTAGTGACTATATGCCAAGGACTCTGACATGAGAAACCCCTAAAGGTTCTATTAAGAGAGCATGTGGTACTTTGAAACCCTAGTGAGATGTAAGGAGGGGGTTGAAAGTGTGTCATGATCCCCCATTCAAACACACTACATCTACTTAGAAGAACTGCCTCAGACTACTGGAGCATTTCTTCAAAAAATGTTTCTGAGATATAATTGACATATTGTTAGAGCATTTCTATATCCTTTTTTTCCTCCACTCCCCAACAGTGACACACTGGTTAATCTGGGGCTTGCAGAGTGCACCTTTTTCAATGGTCAGAAAATGAGAACATTGCCAAGGCTACTCGTTAATTCCATAAAAAGACATTATATGAATGTGTTTCTGAAATATTAGTAGAAAATAAGATTTTGCCATGGTATGGTTCTCTTTCTTTGAATTTCAGAATATTGATAATTAATTTGAATGTTCTTAATTTAAAAATATTTCTGTAAATTGGATTATTATTGTATGAGAAAAACAGCTAAAAATTTGCTAGTTCCTGCTTGCCTACCTCAAGTTAATGAGAAACGTGGGAAATGAAATCCTTTATATGATCTATACATCATATATTGCACATACCTACATTTAGAACTTGTTTCAGTTCCTTGAGGGTGCTTAGAAGAGAGTTGTTTGGAGATCAGTTTCACATTGCAGATTCAAGTAGTTTCTTTTTTAAGGGATACAAGATAATTGGGACAATTACAAAAGTCCCCTGTATTCCATCAAAGTGACTGGTGTAGTCCCAAGGCCCTTATCAGCTGTGGAAGACAATGTTTGGTTCATAGGCAGTGGTATTCCAGCCTAATGGTGAAAGGTAAAGGGCTCTTCCTACTTTAACACTCTGTTAGCCTGGGTTTGGGGTTTGTTTTCCTCACTTTTATGATCTTTTTGAGAGAGAGAAAAAATATACACATTGCCCTTCACACAATTGTTTCAAGTCTGTTACAAAAATCTGCCCAGAGAGTATGCTCCTGTGATTTAACAAGCTATATGCTAGAGTCTTTCATAAGCTCTGAGGCTGTGAAGGGATATTGTAAAANACAATTTTTTTTCCTCAAAATGGGTTTCATAATGGTGGTAACAAGCTATAGTTCTAGAACTCATTTCATTCAGTCAGCAAGCCCTTGACATGTCACTCCATGGGAATCCTATACTTGATTTATATAGTGAGGGGTTACTGCTGCCTTCCTGGAGTTTCTGAGCATAACTTTTCCAAAGTCAAGTCCAGGTACCTATTTTAGTTGGAATGTTCTTCCAGCATTAGCTGTCATTCTTCATTCTCTTTGTCTGCAGAACAATTTGTTGAGAAGTCATCCTGCGCTCAGCCCCTGGGCGAGCTGACCAGCCTGGATACTCACGGGGAATTTGGTGGTGGGGGCAGCAGTCCATCTTCCTCCTCTCTGTGCACGGAGCCGCTGATCCCCACCACCCCTGTTATCCCCAGTGAGGAAATGGCTAAAATCGCCTGCAGCCTGGAGACCAAGGAGCTCTGGGACAAATTCCACGAGCTGGGCACGGAGATGATCATCACCAAGTCGGGCAGGTAGCTGGGCCTTGGTGGTGAGGAGTGGGGAGACGGAAATGCACCTGGGTGGTAAGCTTAGAGTGTTTCTAGCAACTGAGTGAAAGCCCGCTGGTTCTGAGTACAGAAAAGAAGCTTTGCTTGCCGGAGGTCGGCTTCTTTCCACTGACTTGCTTTTGGAAAGAGCTGCTGATACAGACATCCAGGTGTTTGCTTTCTCCTATCTGTCACTGAAAAATCCCCCCCAGCCTTGATGAGAAGGGTACTGGGACCAGGGATCTCTGTCGCCTACAACCTGGGAGGGCTTGGGGGTGCAGGGCTGGCCTCTGGAGGGAAGTGGGAACTCATGCCCCGGGTGCAGGAAGCTGGTTGCTTCCAGGGAGGCAGGTAGCTTGCCTTTTTTGGCCTCAATTTGCAGAAGCCTCCAGCAACCATGAAAAAAAAACTAACATTAAAACCTGGGCAGAAGAAATCCTAAACAAACCACACTCGCCGTAGCAGGGAGCGCTGGCGTGTCTGGCGCCGCGTCTCTGTAGCTGCAGCCATGCAGGCTCAGTGCCGTGCGGAGCAGTGAGCAGGCGGCTGTCTGGGTCTGGGGCAAAGGCCCGAGGCGAACGAAGGTGGCTCCAGCTTTCCTACTCTGGGAAATACCCCGAGGGTCCCATGAAACCCAGTCTGAGAACCCAGCTCTCACTTTCTATTGCAGGAATCCGTTTTCTCGTAGCAACGAGATGGGGTTGCCCGACTCTGCTCGGAGACTTCAGTCCCTTTACCCTCACGGGTTTGATACTATAGCATAGGATTTCCTCTGATCTCAGATATTAAAAAACAACACAAAACAAAACTTTTCATCTAGCAAGGAGGATTTCTATAAAGGTGACAAAGTTATCTAGGCCTAGGAGAAGGTCTGTCTCTCTATTTCACATCTGAGGCTTTACAGGGAACAGAGAAGGTCTGGGGGCCCAGTAGGTAGAGGAGTCAGATCCTTTCCCTCCACCTCGAATTTGGGTCAACTTGTTAGGGAGTGTGAGCTCTGGCCTATTTTGTTTCCCTGTGTCAGGAGGATGTTTCCTACCATCCGGGTGTCCTTTTCCGGCGTGGATCCTGAGGCCAAGTACATAGTCCTGATGGACATTGTCCCCGTGGACAACAAGAGGTACCGCTACGCCTACCACCGGTCTTCCTGGCTGGTGGCTGGGAAGGCAGACCCACCACTGCCAGCCAGGTTTGTGACTCCACATTTTCCGCCTGAGCAAGACTGGTACTAACCCCGCTGGCACAATGTCTCTGTCCTGGTTGTTTGAATTTTAAGCAGGTCTGTTGTTAAAGCCATGAACTTTAGTAAGAGCATTCCAAGCCCAGACATTTCAGGATTGACTATTACAAAATATGGATTAATCTTTGAGAAAAGCAAAGTGTGTGCATAGACAGGACACTGCCTTTAATTTTATCTTTCCTCATAATGTATTTCAAAGTTTTCCTTAACTTTCAATTGGAATATTGATTAGAAATCTGGACCCATTTCCTATAGTGCCTGTCATTTCTAGTTGGCTACTCAACACCATACTGAGTTAACCTACTGATGAAGTGGTTGCCCCGAAATCCCTTTTAGAAGAATGCATTTTAGTAGAGGCTGTTTATAGTAAATGTTTGTTAACAATGTGGTGGCATCTGCACATAATAAACATCATTTTGGTAAAATGTGGCTGTTTTTGACTAGTAAAGGGCTCAGAGATTTTAAGTAAGAAAAACTGATTCTTTTCTCCCCCTTCTGCATAGTAAGATTGGTGGATGAGTATAATTCAACATCAGGTTAATATTCCTTTACATGAAACATTACTCAATTAATGTATTAGGGATCATATATGTTTATTTTTGTGCTATTCAGTGTTGATGTTCTTCCAGGACAATGCTGTTTAAAAAATCACATGCAAGCCTTTGTTGCTGCTCTCCCAGATGGACATTCTGGGGGGAAAAAAGCATGCATTTACTTATACGAATATTAATAGCTCAAGTTATAGGAGCCTAATTGCATACTTTATTACAAACAAAGTATATTAGCTGACTTTCTCTTTAGGGTTCAAAACCATAGCTTTTAAGTTATTTTATGACTATCTAATTTTTATAATTGATTAAAAGTTTATATCAGAGCTAAGAATTTATTGTACAGGTTTAGGAACTTTGAAATTATTGCTAGTTCTTTGTCAGTATATAGTTTGGAGTCTTAGTCAAGGTACAGAATCAACACAGTGTACAAATATAATTCAAATGGAAAACTAAGTTTACTTAGTTGATCACATAATTGAGCTTATGTTATGCTGAATACACTAGGAAGAGATTAAAAGAAGCCTCTCCAAGCTTTCTATTCCCACAAGAGACTAGGAAGGACATCTTCCCAACCATTTTCAAATCAGTGTATTAAAAAACATTAAATAACAGGACTAAGAAACTTAAGAAAATTGTTACTCATTTTTTATTAAGCAAGATTCACCAGTTTACAGTAGACATTAAAATGAATAGAATTTGTGTTTTTTGTATAGCAGATTCACATTATTCTCTAGAGAGAGAAAGTATTTTAGCAAATTCCTAACCAATTTTACAAGTAAACCCTCCTTTTTTTTCCTCAAAATCTTTCCTCTAAGAAGTTAACCACTCCTGTTTAGCATATGTTTTCTTCCTATCTGAAGGTATGGGGAACTGGTGCAGACCAGCAGGACTTTAGAAATATGACATGCCTTGTTTATGTTACTAATCTGTTCTGGTTGGAGAAGGAAAGCACGTACCAATACACTATCTTAACTGAAACATGTTTAAGCTATTGCTGGAATTTTAAGTCCTAGGGGACTTGAGAGAGGAGGGGCTTCCTGTATGCTTTTTCATTCATCCAGTTCAACTTATTTATATTGATGTAAGATAAAAATGTTCAGTGCACTTATAGGTAGAAGTATTCTGGAAAATTTAAACAACTATAGAAATAGTGCTATATATTCTAGCTCCATAAGGGAGATGTGAGGAACTTGGGAGAGGATCATTTTTATACTGATGGTGGAAATTCCTTGGGGTTATAGTTCTTTGAACCATTTTATTTCATACTGAAGTTCATCAGTTAATTGTTCCTAATCTGAAGAAATAATGCTTGATAATACCATTTGATCTTGATATGACATTTTATAAGATCTAAAATAATGTTACATTTACCTATAGGACATTCCTTTTCTTTAAAGTAATTGATATTTAATTAAGTGAATCTTTGCTGACATGATTACCTATGGTGAGTTGATACTTAAGAGGGAACATTCCATCAACTTCTAGGACTTGAAGTATTTTGGAACATTTTTTTGGCAAAGTGGGTAGGATGTGGTGCTGATGAGTAAAACAATTGCACCTCTAAAGTTATAGTCTTGAGAGGGGTGACAGTTGAAAAAAGTTATTATGGTTGTGCTACCAAAGAATACTTCATTGAAAGGCAATTTTGAGTACTGCTAAGAAAAAAAGTAGGCTGACAAACATACCTAAAGCCTTTAAGATTCTTGTACCTGTCTGGTAAGAGTCTTTAGTGCCGCCAGCCTTTCTTTTGCTTTGTTTCTGGTGGACTTGGTAAGGTTCAGCATGTGCACTCCATTCTTCTATTCTCAGTCCTCTGTGACAAACCACGGCACAGACTTCTTGTTCTTGCCATGAATATTGCAAACAAAGGTTTTTTGACTTTTTCCCCTGCCTTTTCCCCAATCATAATATAAATGTTTAATTAGAGTCACAGGGATCCTATACAAAATTTAGATATAAATAATCTGTTAAATGGATAACGGAATTTGTTCTATTAAATCAAGAGTATTTCCTTCCCCTTTCATTAGTTCTGTAATCTCCCCTGATTTCAGAAAAGTTAATGTTGAGTGGAGACCAGGACTGGGATTTCCAAAGAGCTGTACTTAGTGTGATACTCGCAGATAAAATGAAAGGCGTGCATTAAACTCTGAGTGAGTAACTGTGCACGTAGCAGCTGATCAATAAATGATAAATACATACTTGGTAAATACGTTTTTTCCCATCAAACCTTTTTTTTTCTCTTTAGGCTGTTTACAAATAAATATGTTGAATAATTTGAAGTTTACCCTGCTCCTTTTCACTCTCATTTTAATTGAGCACTTAACTAGATACTGATAAAAGTAGCAGTACTTAAGGTACCAGGAGGAACAACAGACTATATCTGTGGACTATTAAAAGTTCCCTAGGTCACTGTATTACAATTACTTTGTCTTGTATTTATAAAAAACATGAACTGTAAACTGAGTCACTTTTATGTTTAAGTGACTGGACTGTCTAGAATTGTTTTCTCTAAAATTCTTTACATCTTCATTGCTTTTTAGCAATGCTTATAATAGGAGCTCACTATGTGATTAGTATAACCTAGTTTTTTCTTTTGAAAGTATCTAGAATAATACATTTCATATTTGACAGAAGCAGACCAGTAGTCAATTAGATGGGGAAAAAAAACCCACCTTAAAAAAATAACTTGCTTAGTAGATAATAGGAAATTTATTATTACCTTTTAGATTACTGGGACATGAAGAAACAGAATTAGATGTTCTAGAGTTATTTTGATATCGCCATATTATTAAATTTGAGATTATGTGGCGCAAATAAAATTCTAATGTGAGGTGTTGTGTTCCTTTAGAATCAGAATATTTTATAGCCCACAGAGAGCAGATTTTTAAAAAAAAATTCTCAGTAAAATTCTTTAATAATTTTCTTAGGCTGTATGTACACCCAGACTCTCCTTTTACTGGTGAGCAGCTACTCAAACAGATGGTGTCTTTTGAAAAGGTGAAACTCACCAACAATGAACTGGATCAACATGGCCATGTAAGTACAGTGCTTTGGACTGTGTGGATTCCTTGGGATGGAATGAAGTCACACAAAACTTCCTCTTTCTAAGGGGTCTCCCTCTCCCTCTCCTGACATCTGCTTCTGGGTCATCCATTCAGAACATTCATGTGTCCTTCAGTGACACAACCATGATTGCTGCTTTTGAGAGGCCATATCCAGGGATGCTGTATGCCATTTCTTTGCAAGAGGGTTTGGGACCTTTGGCACTGTGAATTTCCTAAGACTTCTGCAAATGCTTTACTAACTGCACCAACTAAACAAAGGAAATGTACCTTTTGGAGACTACTACAGCCTTTTTGGGTTAAACATCTACTGGTATGTCATACAACACAGGGTAAAGGGAATGGGGTTGAGACCACCCCCTGCCTCTGCCCCATGGGTTTTTCCCAAAGTATGTTCCTTTTAGTGGAAGTGTTCTTTACTTAGTACATATCCTCTTTGTAGTCTTATGAATATTAAAGCACAGAGAAGTCTTGTAGTTAAAACCATTTGATTTTGTGTCAGTAAGGAGTTCATCAAAATGTGGAGAAGAGAAATTGGAATTCTGAGCTCGTCATTAGTTCATAAAATAAACTCACTGATGCAGGGCTTTACACATTGGGTAAGTTACTTTTTAAAGAACTGTGATATTGTTCCATGCTCTTAAACAAAGATTTACATAAAGATTCTATTTTAGATTTTGGGCTGAGCAAACTTTAGACAGACTTGCATACGTCTTTTTGACGACAAGAATACTGTTTCATTTTTTGCCTTGATTGCCAGAAAGCACATTGGTATTTTCATAGCTGCTTTCCTTGGCTTTAGATATTCTGATATAATTTTCCCTCTCATCCTCTTTATTAAGGCTCTTGTTATTTAAAGGTTTAGTTTTTATTAGATCTATGCAGTGGAGAAAGAGAATTTCAAGACTTTTCTCAAAGAAGATGTTTAGATAATAAGTTAGATAATAAAGTAGAGAGTTTTAGACATGGCTCCAAATGCTGAATTGAAACTGGAACCAAATAAATCACTTCAGGCATTGCTGCCATCCATTTGCCCACAAGACCTTGTTTATGACAACTGAGTCAGAGTAACCAGGTTAATTCATGAGTGGTTGCTGGTGGCACTGATGGGATGATGAAGTAGGTTAACAGCTTTCTGTTGTTTTATGCATTGGAAAAGGTAATTGACTTTTATCTTTAAGGATGTTGGCATAATTGTGCTTTTTTGTTTAATAAAGATGTTTCCATTGACATTTTTTTTGTCAAGTTATAAATATCTGAGAGACATTTTCTGTAGGCCAATGATCATTCTTACTGTCATTCACATTAAAATTTTGTGGGCTCTGCTGAAATCTTGCAGGGAGAATGACATTTTTTATGGTTCTGGTATTTTCCATATTGAAGCTTTTAGAAGAACTGTTTGGGTTTTTTCAGAAAGACTTGAGAGTTCATTCTGAGATCGGCCATCCGGAATTTGTATGTTTTCCTTTTAGCTTCAGTTTCATGTATGGGAATACCACTAAACTGTATTTCAGGAGCCCTGGGTTCTAATTTGATAATGCCAAGATTAGACCTTGAAAAATTGTTTAGTCTTAGATAGTCATTAATATCCATTTTAGCTTTAAATCTTATTATTTAATTTAACCTTCACTTTATCACCAGAAATAGTGTGTTCTGAAAACTAGAAGAAAAGATTTTTTGATCCTCTATTGTTTAGCCAAGTTCTTTGAATTAGTCCTGAAGAAGCCCCTCTTAGAGATATATTCTTGGTTTTATAACAGGAAAATTTCTTATTTCCAGGAATCTATTTCTTCGATGAAGCAGAGTCCACATTTCTATTAGCATTTCAAGCCCCTGAGGGCTTGAGCAGAGAGAGTCAGGAGCCCTGGGGTCTGAGACTCAGTCTGGAGACTGTCTCTCCAGTATCCTTTCCCAAAGGAAATTGACCTTGGGGCCAGTGTAAGGAGAAGAGAGAGGACCTTATTTAAAGCTTAGAGTTTCTTCCTGTGTGTGTGTGTTTGTGTGTGTGTATGTGATTTGAAATTCCTTTTAACTTATTAGCAGAACATAGAGTGAATTCTCAGGGTTTTTTTTTTAATATCAATATTAGGAGTTTGCTTTGTCACTTTGAGTTTATTCCAGTTTTATGACTAGGCATGGATGTCTTGTACTCCTTGGAATACACACATTATACAAAGAGATGACTTTCTAAAGGCTATTTCAATTCATTTGAAGCTCTCATTTGTTTTTGTTATTCATGTTTGGGATCATAAAAATATGACATGTTCAAAATTCCATACCAGTTAATGCCCTGTAACTTTAAGTTGGCTTTCATCTGAGCACAGAGAGGTACTGAATCTGTATTAGTTATCCCACAGTAACTAGTATTTAACTTGGCTAAAGTCAACCAGAAGGAACATTCATCCACCACACCCATGTTAGCCAAGAAAACAAGGGAGCCATTAGTTGCAATAAGGCTGCGTGCCTTTGCCACTGGTCTCTCATCAATGCCACTGGCCACAGTATCTCATCAGTGCCTCCTCTGAGAGAAACGCTTTCTGATAGACCTTTAGGGTGAAGGGCATACAGCGTGAGCTCTGTTGTCCCAAGAAAGACATACTTAGTTTTATAGATTTAGGTAGCTGTGTGAGTAGCAGGAATAGGATGTGGAAAACCTTTTATATCTGAAGGTAAACTATGCTGCTAAGATTATAATAGCAAATTAATCACATTTTTATAAGATACATGAAAAATACAGCCTTGCTAACCAGGGTATGTTTATGATTTCTATGTATCAGGCAACTTTCATTAGCTGTGAAATGGAAGATGGCCACCACTGTCATTCATGTTTAGTATATAAGTGGAAGTCATGAATCAATGAAGTAGTCAGAAATAATAACAACAACAATAATAAATTTCATATTTACTGAACACTTCCTATTTGCTATATGATTTGCAAGGGTTATATCATCTAATCCTCATCACACCCTACAAGGGTAATACTGTTTTTGCATTTGAGAAAATGAAGAGGGAGAGATGAGGTCACTTGGCCCAAGATTAAAGAGCTAGAAAGTAGCATATTCACTAATCTAACCAAAGTCTAATACCATACTGCCTTCCTAAATCGTTTTATTCCCTACTCCCATAAATAACCATTGGTCCTTCTAGAATATATAATTTATTACTTTAGAAAATGAAGATATATATCTTTTGGTCTAACCAGACTAAGAAAAAACATTTTATTTTTAAGATTTGACTTAAAAATAAACAAATAAACATCCACCAGATGACCCTCCCCAACTCCCATCACCCCTCTAGCATTTTAGAAAGATACCTGAAACAACCTATGTTATCTACATTGTTTTGGTAAAATGTGTTTCAGAGCAATGAGTCTGTAGTATCTTGTGAAAACGATTTGCCTTAAGAATGGAAAGGATAGATCCTAATCTTAAAACTGAATTTGAAACTGTAGGTTTTATGGTTCTTTCTTTTCTTTCTGTGGTTATTGTAATTTGGCCCGCTTAGCAATATAAAAATTTTAAATTCAGTACTTCCCGTCTCTTTGTTGTAGATAATTTTGAACTCAATGCATAAGTACCAGCCCCGGGTGCACATCATTAAAAAGAAAGACCACACAGCCTCCTTGCTCAACCTCAAGTCTGAAGAATTCAGAACATTCATCTTTCCAGAGACAGTTTTTACAGCAGTCACTGCCTATCAGAATCAACTGGTGAGTGTACCATTCATAACTTATTTTCTAAATAAGATAAGGATTTAGAATGTTCTTTCATGCTCTTGGAGACAAGGGCTATGCCAGTACTCAGAAGTTCACTTTGGGGAGAGGTATTATCAGCCCCAGGACCTCTAAGTGTGTAGACTGACCATGGCTCAAGTCCTGAAAGTCTGTATCACACCATCTCTACTAGAACGTTTATACTTCTGCTCAAGTTGTTCTCTGCCCACTCTCCCACCCAAACCTGCCCCAACCTGCCTTCTCAAATTTCCTTCTTGAGAAAATTACCTTCTTCTTTTTCCTCCTAATAGATCCTCATGATGTATATTATATGAGTCATATAGACACTCATTGCTTCATAAAATTTAGAAGTTCAGTTTTTCTGCTAAATTAGCACATATATTCTAGCCAACTGCTCAAATTACTGATACTTTAGATATTTTGTGAGGCTTATTTAGCCATAATTTAGGATAAGATAATTCTAGCAGAATGATTTTAAATGTCTCTTTAATTAATAAACTGTAGTAGCCAAGCATTTGTGTATTTAATTAACATTAAGATATCTAATTTATAATATTGAGTTATACATTTTCTACTCTCTGTTGTACATCACATTTAAAACGTATACATTTCTTCATCCATAAGATTTAGTCTAATTCAGTAAATACTTACTGAAGTCTTACTAGCTTGGGGCTGTTAGATTCTTCTCAATGTATTTTCCTGTTTTGTTATTCATGTTTGGGATCATAAAAATATGACATGTTCAAAATTCCATACCAGTTAATGCCCTGTAACTTTAAGTTGGCTTTCATCTGAGCACAGAGAGGTACTGAATCTGTATTAGTTCTCCCACAGTAACTAGTATTTAACTCGGCTAAAGTCAACCAGAAGGACCTTTCATATCATGGCGTACTGGGATAGGAGGGGATTATCATAGTTATAATAACTAATATTTGGGCGTTTACTATGTGTAAGTCGCCATTAAAGTGTATCGGCCTATTTTCACAATGACATTATGAGATAGGAACAGCAGTATATTTGTGTCACATTTTACATCTGGGAAGATTGAAGCACAGTATTAAATAACTCATGCACAGTGGCCTTGCTGCTCCTGTCACAGACCTGAATCAAAGTGGTTAGGTTAAAATACCATTGTTTTTCAACTCTAAGCTTTTGGTGCCTGGTCTCTCCAAAGAAAGCAGAGCTTGACCTCCTCTCAGCTTGTGACCCTGATGGGCTCTGAAATGTCCTTTTTAGAAGGTTTCAACTCTTAATGTTCTTTTTTTTTTTCTTTCCAACAAGTGTTCACTGCTTACTTGCTATGTGCAGGGCCATGTCCATATCACACAGCAGCCTGTGTAATGAGATGACAATCATCCTAAATTGGTGGTCAGAGTGTCTACTATCATTAGCTGCATATAATAGGAGCCATATGCTTTAATGACATTACATAATTTAATTCTTTTTTTCTACTCAACTTTTTATTTAGAAAATTTTCAAATATCCAAAACTAAAGCAAATGGAAAAATGAACCCCATGTACTCTGCACCCAGATTCAGCAATGAACATACTGCCATATTTGTTTAGCCTATCCTTACCCCATCTCTCTACCTCTATATGTATGCTGGCTTTTCCCCTTCCCTTGATCATTTGAAACTAAGTTGCATGCATTATGATACTTTACCTATAAATACTTCTACAAGTATATACAACAAGGATATTATTTTTGTAACCATAATATCTTTATCATAGCTACAAAAATTAGTAAGAATTATTTAATATCATCTAAAATTCAGTTCATACTAAAATTTTCAGGGTGGACCAACAATGTCTTTATATAACCTTTTATATTTCCCCCTCTGACCTAGGATGCAACTAAAGTTAATGGTTTGGATTTATTACTTTTAGTTTAGAAAAACCTCTACATTTTTTTCTCAGTATCTCATTCAATCATGACACATTCCCAAAGAAGGCCCCATGAGCCCCATTTTGTAGATGGAACAAAGTGAGGCCCAGAGTGATTAATACACTCATCCAGGTCATAAACCTGGGAAGTGACAGAACCATCATCTGGGTCTTAATTCCTCCATTTTGGTGGCATCATGCTAGATTGCAGGGCCAAGGAAGTGACCACTGACACTGTCAAGGTTTAGAAACTGAATTTGAAAATGTTGCTAAATTAAAATAGGTTAAGATACTAATAAACACATATCCTTACACTAGTTACTCATCTTGTAAGTATTTACTTCTAATTGAGATGATAAATGGGCTCAAAATCCAGCTACCAGTGCCTAGCTGTCCTTCATTGCGTCATTAAGTACAAAGATTAATATGATTAGTGTATCATTTCATTGCTAAATAACCCACAGTAGAAGTGATTAAATTCAGAACTAATTTTCTCAATAGCTCCTGTTCTGAGTTATTTCTATATTTCTATGTATCAGGTTTTAAAACCATAATCCCTAGCATAATGCCATATACATATATATTTACACACACATATATACATATAAATATGCATATATTCATATATATATGCACAGTTTTTGGAATTCAAGCAATAGTCAAAGATTGGATTTGGTATACAAATAAGTCAGTTTTGCAAATGATTTTTAATCTCATACAGCCAGTCAGAATTTATGTTCAGTAAACATATGTGGAATGAATAAATCAACTTGGGAGTTAGTATTCTGATTTAGATAGTTTTATTAGTATATTTAATTTAGTTAGTAGTTGTTAGTACAACAGTTTTCAGAAGTTATCCCTGATTCTTTGTAGGCCTTCCCACATCTACTGCTTTTTCACTGCTATCCCATGTTGTGTACTGATTTTCATATAGAAAACATAGAATAAATATATAGGGAATAAAATATGTACCTAGTATAAATATTAGAATTTTTCCATGTACAAAGAACAGAGAGAAACCAGAAGAACATTTGTAATTCACATTTAGGATTTGTAATTTGAAGTTTTAGGATCACCTTCATATCTCTTAAACTTTGGTTCAGATTATTGTTTTTATATCTGTTGAAAGACAGATCCAAGCTTCCAGTAGAATTTGTGAGAAAGCTTCTCATTTATTTTGGCTGGTTGGTTTATTAGTAATGAAAATGGGACTTTTTGGCTATTTCTTGTCTGGTTTTTGTGAGGAAATGATTGCATTTCTTTACATTATTAGATCAAAGCTAAATACATTACACTTTCAACAAAACTATTTTATAATTTAAGATTTAAAGGTCATATGTTGTTTTTCAGCAGGCAGACCATTGCCGTAGAGTTGAAGTGTAGGTCAGATTTCATTTTTAAATGCCTTTGGACAGATCTTCTCCTGATAATTGGAGAAATGGTCTCTGAGGGCCAATTTCACCTTGTGGCTGCAAACCCCAGCTGGCTTCAGAGTTCAGTGATATCAAGCAAAATAAGAACCACTGGAAAAGGTTCCCTTCTCTTTGGCACAGTTGGCAGTGTCAGAATATACCCTCCAGTTATGCATACATTTATTATCTACAGATAAAGGAGATGCTGAAAGAGTCAAATTTTGGGTTAGGAAACATTATGTTCTGTGTTATTAAGATAATACATGAAAAAGCAGGGGTGTATTTCGGCCTGAATTAGTCAGTGATTTGCAGCTATGTCGATACACACTGAACTACAGGATTTCTTAAGCACATTCTGCTATCCTTGTTCATGTGGTTTCCTCATGAAATGAAAAACATTGCCATTTTTAATTTGTGTTTTAAACCCCTATCTGTGGATTTACATGGTTTCTCTACATACTATGCTTGGTAGTTGAGACTATTTTTGGATCCTTCTCTTAGTATTACCTTTGGCACAGGGGTGATGATGGGGTTCAACAAGGTTGCAAGCTAGGGGTACTTATTATTAGGGAGCAAATGACATGATGTCCAGCTGAAACCACTGTCTAGGGCTCAGGTCCTTTCATCAGTTCTCAAAGTAAATTTTTCAGTTATCCCAGATTATATAAAGGGATATAAAACTTTATCTTCAGAAATGAATTTCTTTTTATAGAACTACTGTTTTTTATTTAAATATCCATGGAATAAAAATCTATGCCTGACCTTGTAAAAATGCATGATTATCTCGAATGTTAAAATTTTGCTATTTAAAAATTATTTCATCCTAAAATTGGAAAACAAAATGAAATGCTGTTTTTGTAAACTTAAGAAGGGTTTCACCTAACATATAACTAGAAAAAAGAGGAACTCATATTTCTGACTGCTTATTCTTAAAGCAAAATTCAACAAACATTTCGGGGGTGCTTATTGTTGACAGCCCAGTAGATACAGAATCTAGTGATATCAAAGTGAACATGGTGGGCTTGTGAAGAAGTTCAATCCACAGTCTCTGTGCTGCTAACCAATACTCCATAAAACCTGTTCAAGAAAGAGTGTAGTGTTAATATAGGGTCCCCATACACTTTCGTAATAAGAGATCCATTCAGCTTCTTTTCCCTCTAATTTCCACAAGTAATTGTTTCCCTGGAATTAGATTAAATGGTCCACAGAGGAAATAAATACCTGGTTATTATCTTGAGCTCCTTTCTAATTAGCATACTAAAAAGTCAGATCATTGCTGTAACCAGTTGGTATATCTAAATATAAGAGCACCTTGTACTATTTTTGAAACTTTCCTCTAGTTTGAAATTATATCAAAATACAAAAAAAAAGATACCATTGATACTAATAGGGATTATGAAATAGGAAGTAAAAAGATATTGGAAGTAGAAAATGCTAATAATGATGAAAATTCCAAAGAAATCCCCAAACTTGAATTTAATGCACTTCCTCTTTCAGAGTTATGGCAGTAATATTAGATATGATTACCCCTCAATTGAACAACACACACAAATGTGGAGAATGTTTATTCTCCCTGATGACCCTAAAATCATCACATTCAGAGCCACTTGTCCTTATCTTTTGGAAGTGTGAAAAATATGAAGAAATACAATTTTCAAAACCCTTTTCAGGAACAAAGTGGATCAAAAGTCCTTCTTTAATCATTGTAACATACAGATTCTACTTTCAATCCTTTTATTTTGTAAAGACTTAAAGCATGATATGGTTCACATTTTAGAGACAGCTGTAAAAGTATTTCTTCAAAACTAATTTTTCCATCAGATATGTTATCTGTCATTGTCTTGTCTCGAGAAAATGTTATCCATTGGCAAATCCACTCACTTTGTGATTTTATAAATGAGCTATAGGAGCTGAGCTTGAAAGAAGCCTTTACTTTATTGTTGTACCTTACAGTTTCAGTCTCAAGTTTTCATCTGGGGTTGGTTCACACTTAGTGTCATTAACACTGCAGTGAAAGTGGTGCCACTCTCTTTAGTGGCATTGAAATCATTTTCAGTTCTGGTCAGCTGTGTGTCCCTCCGCCTGCGACATGGAGTTTTAAGCTCCGTCAGGGCAGGGACTATGTGTTCTTTTTCTTTGCACCATCCAGCAGCATACAGTGCATAATACGTAATCAATCCTCATGAAATATTTGTTGATGAATTATTGTGAAAGCATCTTCATGAACTATAAAACACATTAGAAATATGAAGTGTTTTAACATAATTATGCAGTAGATGGAGACACAGATCCTGTCTTGGAGGATTTAAAAAATCTTGTTGGTGGTTTATGATCTTAGAATATACTGATTGCTTGGGCTTTAGAAGATATTTACAACTTATTTCAAACAAATAAAAATTCTCTCTTTTGTTCTAAAAGTTGATCTTCACAACTCAATGCTAGTTTGAAAGCATGACTGAAGCAGACTTCACCTTTAGAAATCAATGCCCATTAAAGTAGTGGCCCTGTGTGAGAGAAGGTTCCCTACAAACTCCTGGTAACCACACTTTAAAGGCAACTTCGAGGGTTCCTATATATTTTTTTATAGCCACAAAGTAGCTGTTGCTAACCATAAGAACAGGTTTCTTACTTATCTGGGTTATTTCCTTCCCTTTTTACTATTTTCCATTACTTAAGCTGAAAAGGAAATCAGTTCTTTTGGCTGCTCTAGAGTGAATGCTTATGGGCTAAAAATGAGCATTTCTGGTGCACTGACAAATATCCTTAAAAATTAGTATTATCACAGAATTAATCTTCTAAGTTGCTATTGTTAGTGATAGAGAAGTAGAATCTCTCTGGTCCTGATAGTGTGGGAAAGTCCTATTTTAAGCAATGTAAATAGCTTCTTTACAGCTTGTACAGTGGTTAACTTGAAAAAGAAAAAAATGCCTTTCTTGTGTAAAGAAAAAGGCATCTCTTGTTGTTAATGGTTTAAAATGAACCATAGATACACTCTGATCAGAGGAAAAGTTGCTTTTTGGTGAGAGTATTTCAAAACTATCTATTTTGGTTACTTTGAAAGAGGCAGACCTGCCTGTAGCTTTTTTTTTAGGTTAAGACCATGGGTTCTCATTTTGATACTAATGAGCTGTGACTCTGTTTAAAGGTGATGGTGGCTCTAATTCAGATACTGATTAGCTGGGTCTTAGTTCTCCTAGGTTCCTTTCAGCTCTACACTGAGGAATTTTACAGGTCAAATATCTTTTAATCAGTCTTTTTGTTTTGTTTTTTTTTTTGCTTCAAAACCTAATGTATTTTTCTTTGGAGGCATAGTGTGTATGGTTTAATAGATCTTCCTACATTAATATGAATACTGTGGGAATTATGACTAGCATATCATAGATACTTAATACTTCAGACTCTGATTATTAGGAAATAATTGTTTCCTTATAAGCATAGAGTCTGTAAATAACATTGTATGGGAAAGTAGAGAAAGACTGACTAATATGATGGAAAGGGGAGCAGGGTGAGTTTATATTCTGAAATCTTATATTGTGTGTTTGTGTAATGTGTTTCAATATAGTATTGAGCATAAGCTATTATTGGCTATTTTATCTTTTTATCCATTGTAGTATATATATGTGACCATAGTATCAACAAATGATGTTGCCAAGTCAGCATGAGGCAATGTTCTTATTTATTCCCCATTACCCACCAATGCCAGCCTTCTAGACAGCTCCCCTTTCCCCAGTCG